GTTGACAAATTGTAGTTGAAATCATGAAGTTGAAGTGACTTTGGGCTGTTTGGTTATTGAGAGTATTACGAAGTTCTGATTGATAATGTGTTGTTAATATCAATTATCAACTATGGGGTTTTGTAACTAGTATGGAGAAAATATGCTATCAAGAATTCTGGGTTGTATGTATATGAGTGATAAAAATTTCTTATGATGATGATGATTCTTGTTTTTTTGATCCACTGCATATGTATGATGTGATGTTCGGACTAGAATACGGGTGATTGTGTTAGACTCGGGTATGGATCCGATTGCCTGGTATCTAGAAACTGTTACTTGTAGAATATGTTATTTGCTGGGCAATGAATTTATCATGTCTTGAAAGAGAAATTTTGGACTGTAAAGATAGTAATCGGCAATGCAATGCAATGGAAGAAAATCGACAGGTATTTCAGTTTTTGTTGTCATTTGCAGTTCAATGTGATGTATTAGGCCCAATGGAAAGGAGGATGAGTTTACAGTTGAGTGTTTGATGTGGCAAAAGTGGGGGCATATTGGTGCACAAAGCTTTCCTTTGTTTTAGTATGAGAGAGGCCTTAAATGCAGAGAATCTAATATGCATACCACTAATATGGAGTGATTGTCTTACCTTTGCTTCAAGGATAGCTGCAATTTATGATTTGCGGTAGAAGGTTTCAATATAAATGTTGGATTTGTTATTCAAAATTATGAACTGTTCGTCCATTATCTAGGGCAACAGGCCAACAGTCTTCTTCACTACTGAATAATAAGCTCGAATAGTGAATGTCTGTTGAAGCCTAATTTTCCAACATTCCAAATTATTACTACATAATTGCTTAATTTGAAATAAGATTAATTGGTTATGTTGTCCTCTAGAGCAGACACCCATACCTTTAATTTGACATTCCGATGTAATTCTTAGAATTGACATAGTTCTTTATCAATGTGCAGCTGATGATGGATGCTGACACTGATATAGTTACTGGTATGGTTAGTGTTGTTGATCTAAATGGTGTTCAATATGATCGCCATGGCTCAGGGGAGGAAGACATTGCAGTGGAGGTTAATGGAATTCCTGGAAGCAGTATGGTGGGTGTAGGTCCTGATGCTTACCAAGAAAATGGTACTGAGTTAAATGGAACAAGGATGGTTGATTCTACTCAAGGAGCGGAGGAGCTTACTCATGTGCCTGTGGAAATCAGTGGTTCTGCAGCTTCTGAGGTACATTGCTTCAGTCATTTATTTTTGGGGATGCATGCTCATGAGCTTGTTGCCATGTTTTCTACTTATTATTGTATACCTATTGGTTTTTAGGAGGTGGAAACAACAAAAAATAAAGATGTGAAGGAGCCCAAAGGCAGGGCCAAAAATGAGAAGCCTTCAAACACAAAAAGGGCTGCGGTGACATCAATTAAGAAGAAAACCAACAATAAAGAAGTTAAGGCAACTTCAAATGGTGCTCTGTCTGTGAATACGCAGCCAAAACAGCCTATTGTGAAGACCAAATCTTTTAATGATCGTCATGCTACTAGTAGTAATCCGAGCAAGACCACGAAACCTGCATCTGTGATTAGCAACACCCACAAAGCTAAGGTGGATACTTTTTTAGTTCAAGTTTGGCGTGGGCTAATGGCCCCTCTATCTTCAGTTATTTGCTAACAGTAAGTCATTTTAATTATCCAGCAGCCTGTGAAGACTGAATTGATGTCTGGCTCTGAAAAGTCTGTGACGTGTGAAGGCACTGTGTAAGTTTCATTGCTATAATTTTATTTTTTTCCTCTTAAACCTGGTATGTAATTTAGTCTTCATGCATTAAAAGCGGTTGATACTGGCTGCTTTGTTTATAAAATGTATTATAATTTTTGTTTATCAGAATTTTTGAAGCTGTAGATGAGTTATTAGCTTACTACAATTTCTCTTCACTGATCATTTTTAACTTAATATTGTTTATATGCAGGGAAAAGCCCAAATTGAAGCCCCTCAAGAAAGAACGTCCAACTACAAGCGATGGAAATGGGGAATCTTCTGAGTATCCTTTTTTAATGTTGAGCTTTCTGCCTTTTCCTCCCTTTTCTTCCTTGCTCAGAATTGACTAGGGTAAAAAGACATATTTTCCAAGGTTTATAGTTTTATTTAATTGTTTGTAGTCAGTCTCTGAGTTCATATGTCAGATTATCCTTAATTACTTCGCAGAAGCCCCTCTGCAGCGGATGCCAAGGCCCGTAGAGAGGGTAAACTTCCATCTTATGGCTTCAGCTTTAGGTGTCATGAACGAGCTGAGAAGAGAAGAGAGGTTTGTGTTTGCTCCTTATTCACTTCAGGAATATTTCACTTGCGTCGACTATGTTCTTAAATAACTTGGATTTTGGCATGTTCTTGCTGTTGGACAGTTTTATACCAAACTCGAGGAAAAGATTCATGCGCTCGAAGAAGAGAAACATAATATGCAAGCAAAGTCCAAGGTTTTTTTTTTTTTTTTTTTTTTTTGAATGCTTATGCTTTTACTCATCTGAGGAGAACCATTGCTTGTGAATACATTTTACTCTCGTGCTGAATTATGTTTGTTTGCAGGAATCTCAAGAGGCTGAGATTAGGATGCTTCGGAAAAGTTTAAATTTTAAAGCAACACCAATGCCTAACTTCTACCAGGAACCTGCACCTCCTAAAGCTGAACTAAAGAAGGTATTTTTTTTTCCCCTCTTGGTTGTTTGGCATATTCCATTAGACCTATTGCTGGCTACCATATTTTGATAACTGTTTCACTCTTCTTTTGTCTGGGCTTAGAGCTCTTTATGGGCATTTTATGCTTATTGTGTGCAATCGAACTGTTATCTGCAGGGATTTAATTACTGTAGTTTTTTCAGGTCTCGATTTAGCTTCCGTTGTCTTGTATTTAAGCTTGCTAACCATGTTTATACTTGTAGAGCTTTAAGTATTTGTTGTGAGGTGACTTGCAGCATCATATTCTTTGATTATATTTTTCATCTGAAGGAAGTTTTATGTGAGATTGTTTCTACTTTCTAGAGTCTCCAATTTATTTGCAGGACCAGAACAGGTATGTTATGCGCCTTTCTGACTCAATATGGTATCTGTTGCCTGTTGGGCCTCCTTGCTCCTTCTTTGTCGATAAGACAAGGGAAATCCCTACTCGTATGCCATTAAGAACTCTAGTTTCCTCTTTATATGTGTTACTCCATACATTATATTGCTAGGTAGGCTGTTGGATTTGAATGCTTTGGGTATAAAATAGGTATTCCCTCTAGTTTCCTTTTTATTGGTTTGTGCCGTGATATCATGTCAACAAACTATGTAGATAAGCTTACAAAATACTTCAAATTAAATCCAGAAATGATGGTTCCACTTTTGAGTTTTGACTAATTATTGCTTTAAGTTGCAATTTATAACGGTCAGAGTCAAATGTTACCTATTGTTTAGATAGTGAGGTAGTATTGGAGTACTTCGTATTATTTAATGACCTAGGTTCTAGGAATATTTATATATCGGGTCAATTTGATAGCAAAGGATTGGATTGAGGTGCTTTTACAAGTTACTGATACCCAGAAATGCATTGTTGTATCTCATTGCACATAAACATAATTACTTAAATGCCTCTGCAGAGACGCCTGCTCTGGCAAGGTAAATTGTGGCTGGATGTATATAACTGTACTTGGTGACATAATTTTTGCTGTTTGCATTAAAGAAAACCTTGGATTTCTAGTGAGACATGTGCTTTCCCTCCATCTGTCCTGAATGAAAAATGATTATTGGGGTGAGCGGCATATTTTTTTTTTTTCTTGGCTGTTTTAAATATGAACTAAAAGGAGCAGGACGTGTACAGTTGTTTTGTTAGACTTACTTTCAATTTTAATTCACACAGTACACTTCCCTTCCTATGCTCTTTTATCACTCTTAAATGTCAAATATGATCTACAATTTCTATTTGCCTCCTGATTCAGATACCAACTACACGTCCCAGATCACCCAAGCTGGGTAGAAAAAAGAATTCTTCATCAATGGAAGCTGAAGATGGAGACCAAAACCAACGACCTGGAAGACTAAGCTTGGATGTGAAGGCGGTCTCACAAACAAACTCTAGTAAAGGACCTTCACCTGTACAGTCTAAACGGCCGCAGAGGAAGTCCCTTCCTAGATTGCCTTCCGAGAAGACACGCTTGTCGAAAAATGCTAAAGTGCTGGATCATCCGGTAAATGGGTCTCCACCTATAGCACGTGTTGAGGAAGATATTCCTCTGTCAAACCCAGAATCTGCTCCTATTGCCCATGTGGAAGAGGAAGTTTCTCCCTCTGACCCTGGTTCTGCACCGATTGCTCATGTCGATGAGGAAGATCCAACATCTGACCAGGGTGAAGCTCATTCTGAAATTGAGGACGGGCCTATTGTCGAAGATCAAGTCCAGCTCCCGATCAAGCAAGAAGTTGTATCAGAGCATTGAAGAGAAAGCTTCGGTGCAGCTGGGATTCATTCGCCTCCACGAAGTGTTGGCTTAGTAGAACATGATTATGCTGTCAATGAAGCAGTTTGTCCATAGTTTGGTGAGGTTTGATTGTTCTTGCCTTTTAGAATGCCAGTCTGGTCGCTTAAGAGTCTGCATTTGCACTTTCTCTGGATTGTCCGGTCACTGCTTTTTCGAGTTGTTTATCCTTAAGAATCTATTGCTCCTATTAATTACTCTCTTAGTGGTCTTCCATTGAAGTGTGGTTGTGGGTAAATTTTTGGGATTCTCTCGTACACCAGTTGTAGTTTATGATACATAAGTAGCTTATGGGGGATGACTAAATTGATCAAATTGGCGTAGTTTGCATTTGGAACAATATTTTGTTACTTAAAATGTTTATTCTTCCAACACATCCTTATGCTGTCGCTATAATTTGACTTTGAGCAGTTTTTTTGAGATCATCTTGTTGCTGAATCTGAACCGTCTTTGCCTTCATCTTTTTCTTCAGCATCCCACAGAAATCTTGCATATGATGCGAGAATGTAATTGCATTGCATTGACATTATTGCAGAGTTGTATCAGGAAAAATACCAGGATGCATGCAAGAAAACTTATAGAACAGAATACTGAAAACCATCTTGATTTGAATGTCAAATTACTCACCCAGTCATTGCCTATTAGAGGTGAGAAATGGGTTGCTTGATTCAGTTTTTATTTGGCTCAAGTGTGTTTGGATATTAGCCAGGTCTTATTCGAGATATGAGTTATTTGGTGCGGTGTCAGGTCAGCCTGGGTTTGTTGTTCAGGCCGAGTCACAGTAAATATTTATCACACATTGAATTTTTGGGTCGAGTTGAGTCCAATTGAGGCTGTGTAAAGTTCAGATAAATAGGTAAGGAATAATATTGCTAGGTTTCTGCCTCGTATACACTGTACCTGTCATTAGGATAAGAGAGAACAGCTTGGTGAAAATAAGTCTCAGCTTGAGTAACATCCTGGCTGATTTGCCATATTAGTTCCCCATAGAGAGAGAGTACATTCCCATCTTCAGCTTTTGCCAGTATTGCTCGTTTGCAGTATTCTTCTGCTTTGGCCAAATCACCTTTAACCTGCACAGCATTAAACCAGGAAACTGTTATAGTGTTATTCTATAACAACTTTGGTTTTGTTATTTTACCGGATATTGCATGAGAATCATAATACAGTATCCTACCTCTTTCAGAAATCTGGCATAGTTTCCCAGAAGCAGGCCATTTCCAGGATTATCTTTGATCATGTTCTTGTAATACTGATCTGTGTTTCTATCAGAATCACCTCTGAGCATGCAGAATCTTGATATGTTGCTGCGTGACGAATATATATTGATGGTTTGGGAGGGGATACGCGATGAGAGTGAAATCGCGATGGATAGTGTTGTTAGAGTACGGGATGAGTTGATTCCAAGAATCATTTCTATCGCGGAAAAGCTTGACTTGTTAAGACTTAGAGAGGAGTCGAAGGCTGAACTTGTTGAGAATTTGGTTTACCAAACAAGTTTAGCATCTAGTTCAACTAGGGGTGGGACTTTTCAAACCGAACCGTGAAACCGTCCGTTACTGAATCGAACCATCACGGACCGAACCGTTTATAACCCGCTAATTTTAAACCGAAAACCGAACTGAACCGTATAATGTCAAACCGAAACCGAACAGAACCAATTAATGTTAACCCGTTACGAACCGTAAACCAATAACAAACCAAACCGTTTATAATCCGAAACCGTTTGAACCGATTAATGTTACCCGCTAACTGTTTAAACCGAACCGTTTATAAACCGAAACCGTTTAAACCGTAGGAAAAAAACCGTTTAAATCGAACCATTTACAACCCGCTAACCGTTTAAACCGAACTGTTATAACCCATTAAACCGTTTAAACCGAACTATTTTCAAACCGCAACCCGTTTAAACTGATCCGATTACAAACTATTTAAACCGAACCGTTTACAACCCGTTCCATTCAAATTGAACTATTTACAGCCTTTAACAATTTGTTAGAATTCCACGAAATATATTTGATGTTTAATGTAATTTAACAGTACAATTTTTTTTACATATAATTATTGATTTAAATTTGCAAATTTTTTTGCTATTATAAAATTAAAATTATATTCTTGTATAACTAAATTAGGAGTTATAAATTAAATAAAAAAATGAAAAAAATTTGGCCACCCACCCAATCCAACCACCCTCCACCCACCCACCACCGTAACCCACCCTAACACCACCCCCGCCGTCACTCCAGACCCACCCTAACACTACCCCCCACCCACCACCGTTACCGTAACCCACCCCCACCCCACCACCATTACCGTAACCCATCCCCACCCCACCAACGTCAACCCAGACCCACCCTAACACCACCCCCGCACCCACCATAATTACCGTAACCCACCCCACCCCACCCCACCACCCACCGTAAATAAAAAAACCCAGACCCAAACCTTACCCCACCCCATCCACCACCGTCACTGTAAATAATAAAAACCCAGACCCATACCCCACCCCACCTACCACCATCACCCCACCCCACCCACCACCGTCACTGTAAAAAAAAAAAAAAAAAAAAAAAAAAACAGACCCAACCCCAACCACACCCACCACCGTCACCGTAACACACCCCACCCCATACAAAAAAATCGAAAAAAAAACCCAAACCCACTGTAACCCCACCCCACCCACCCCCACGAAACCCAACATCCTCGAAACCCCCCAACTCACTCTAATTGCTCACCCACCATAAAACTCCCTCCCTCCCTCGAAAAATCCTCCCTCCCCACCCACCCGAACCCAGTCTAACCGCCGCCGCACCCACCCTAACTCGGCCCCCTCCGTTGCCCACAACTTGAAAAAAAATTAAAAAGAAAAACAGAAAATAAAAAAAGGAAGAACGAAAACACCTTATATATTAATCCTGAATTTGGCCTCGAATTTGGTTTTAAAAGGCCAAATTCGATCATGAAACAACTAGATCTAGAGTTTCGTGGTCGAATTTGACCATAAAAACCGTCGTGCGTGGTGCCGGTGGACGGAGACGGAGAAACGAGATGGAAGAAAGGAGAACATAGACGGAAGAAGGGAGAAGAAGGAAGAAGAAGAAAGGAAGAAGGAAGAGGAGATGAGAGAGAAAATGAGAGAGCAGTGAGCATATTAGCAGCCATGGCTTCAAAAAATTGATAATATTATAGAAGAGGATTAAGAAAACGAGAAAGAAATCAAAAGGAGTACTAAAGAGACGATGGTAAGAGTGATCTGATTGGTGGAAAAGAAAACACACGGATCGTGAATTGGAATGTGTGCGATGATAGGCCGTTAGATGACATGCAAATCAATGGCTGATATTTAATATAAGACGGTGACACGGATCATGGAATAATGGATTTGGATAGTATGTTTCTTTTTATTCATAGCTACGTACTAATAAAAACACTACTGTACTCTTAACTTTATGTAACTTATAAATTGTAAGAAACACAAATGTTTGGAAATTGGAATTGATTCAATATGACAGATTTAATGTATATTAGTTATATGTATATCAGTATATGTAATAAATAATAATGTATGGTACGATTGGTATCATACTATCATTGGTATGTATAGATAATCGATAAATGTATCTGATTATTAAAACTTAAAACAGTTGATGATCGATCTAATTGAATACTTCTACTTCCCCACCCGTTTTCTTTAACTTGCAAGTTGCAACATATATATGTTGCAGCCTTGTAGGCATGTAATCTTAAAAGGTGATTAGAGAGGGTAAGACAACAAAGTAATTCAGCAATATAACTTTAACACCAAAATTATGGAATAGTTACAAACAATTGTCAATTATTACTTTATTAGACTAATGGGAAATTGAATAATCGTGATTTTAATTAAACATCCAAATATAGTTCCGTAACATTAAATTATTAGTTTATTACAATATCAATTATCGATTTATCGTATTCAAAGTACCAATTCATCAAATCATGGTTATGACGCGATCTTTAAAACAATTAAAACAAGAAGCTGATAGCCTGATAATATTTGATAATGAAACAATAATACATTAATACCTTATAAATTTGTAATAGACTAATATTTAATAAACAAAAACAAGACTATAACCAAATTTGAAACATAACACATTAACATGATATAGAATGAATGAGAATTTCTGTAATTCTATATAATCTGATATCTGAATCGATTTATCGTATTCAAAGTAGCAACTCATCAAAACATGGTCATGACACGATATCTAAAACAATCCAACAAGAAGCTGATAACCTAATAATATATATTTAATAATGAAACAATAATACATTAATACATTATAAATTTGTAATAGACTAATACGATAATATCGAATAAACAACAACAAGAGTATAACCAAACTTGAAACATAACATATTAACATGATATAGAATAATTGAATAAATGAAGATTTGTGTAATTGTATATAATCCGATGTCTGAAAATAAAGTGACAAAGTCCCAACTTTATATAAAACGAAAATAGCTAACCGGTCAAAAATCTCTTAAAACCCAATTTCTACTCGATCCATTATTTTTTTCACCAACCTATGCCGACCCGCTAATGAAATGGAAATACTAGTCCCAACTTGATATAAAACAAAACGCGCTAACTGGTCAAAACCACTTTTTAGAACTCGATTTCAACCCGATCCAATTTAACCGATTACCAAACTAACCCGAACGATTTTAGCACCAAACCGAGTATAAACCGAACCGATATGAATCGAACTAGCATTAACCCGAGTAAACCCGCCCCTGAACCGACCCATTTCAAAATAATCCGTTCATGACCCGAACCGATATGAACCCGGACCGACGTTGACCCGGTAAAACCGCCCCTGAACCGATCCGTTTCAAACAGGTCAGATCATGACCCGAACCGTTTATAAACCGAACGGGCATTGACCCGGGTAAACCCGCCCCTGAACCGACCTGTTTCAAACCGACCCGATTATTAACCGAACCGTTTAAAAACCGAACCGGCATTGACCCGAGTAAATCCGCCCCTGAAGTGACCCGTTTCTAACCGATCTGATTATGACCCGAACTGTTTATAAACCGAACCGTTTATGACCCGAACCGAATTTAAATCGTACAAAAATAAACCGAAACCGAACCGACCTGTGACTAATCAAAACCGAACTGAACCAACCCGCTGTCTAAATGACACCGTTTTAACCCAAACCGTTTCAACCGAAATCGTTTCAAACTGAGGTCAAACCGAACTGCCAGACCGAAGTCCCACCTCTAAGTTCAACCCACACCCCTCTGAGGTCCATAAGGAATCAAGATGTTTGATGATTATACTAATATTTTAAAATGAAACACTAGTTTATTGTACTTTTATTAATAGAAAGTTTTATTTTCAGTAGAATCTATGACAATGGCTTATTAACTGATCAAATGTTCCTTCTAATCCAAATCTCATATTTTTAGAAGGTTACATTGCTAACGTGGTGCAATGCAAGTATACGTCGATTAGTTTTTATACGTCGATTAGTTTTTGAATACTCGTATGTTTAATGCTTAACAAGTAAACTACTACGGAGTACAAGTTTGGGATGCCTTTTCCTCAAGACCGTACCCAAACTTATGTGACATGGATTACAGTCTTACACATGAATCGTTGAACCTTAATTATTGCTAAAGTACAATTTGCAAAAGAAGTTATAGTATACGTAGAATATTCTCCTAAAAAAATAAGCCAACTTTAAATGTTTCGTGTTCATTAGAAATTCATAGGTGATTCCCCTTCATTACAGCCAACAACAAGAAAGGGATTAGATTATAAGAACTGTTAAAGAAGTCAGCCGAATGTCACGTGCCGACTACTTTGCCCTAGTCACGCACCGTGCGCCACCCGCTTACAGTCCGTCGTAAGACGAGTCAGGCTTTCTCCTTGGCACTTACTCCTTGTGCCCACGTAGCACAACTCCTTGTGCTGCTAGTATAAGTTTGCTAGCACGATCCCTTTGTGCTAACAAGTCCCCTTTGGTTGAACTAAGCACTCACCCTTAGTGCCTTAGTCCGAATTTACGACTAAGTGTCGTAGACAATTGAGCACCCAAGCTATCACCCTTGCTGGTATGCCCGATCACTCACTTGGCACCCTCGTGCCTTAGTTTTCCTCACACTCTCTAAGTGTTGGAAGGAAAGGATTGAGTTGCAAGAGAACACAAGTGCTTAAGAAAGGCTTTTTGTATTGCTCTCAACTTATAGCTCTTAACTTGTTGATCTCTCAACTTATAGCTCTTAACTTGTTGATCTCTCAACTTGAATGTACAAATGATGCCTTGGAGCCTATTTATAGTGCTCCACCCTACTTACATGCTTCTCTAGAACGTTCCTAACCTCCTCAAATGGAGGGTTCTAGACTACAACAATCTAGAGAGTTCCTACCTCCAAAGGAACATACATACAAGGAGGTTTCTACATACTTCCTTCCTAGAATGTTAAGGACTACCCTAGAACATTCTAGAACTTTACAAGAGTTATGTACATATGTAGAGAGACCTAAAAGACTCCTAATATGTACCAGACCTTCCTTGATTATTCTAGAGTCATCCACTCCAGAATAGTCTTCAAAAGAACCTCGTAGATAGCTCCGGAACCTTCTAGAAGCATCTCGCGTTTTCCGGACTACCTGCTGCCAAAACTCGTATTTCGGGGCCTTGTCT